ATATATATATATATATATATATATATATATATATATATATATATATATATATATATATATATATATATATATATATATATATATATATATATATATATATATATATATACGCCTATATAAAGATACATACAAACGTCATTCGCATTGGAATATAAGAACTACAATTACATGGACATATCAGTACAGGTATAGGTATAAACCGAAGGTCCCTTTGAAATATTTTTCATTGGGTTTGGTGACGTGTATGAATTTATGCGAGATTCTGCAACGGAAGGTACACACACTGGGCTATATAAACCACACAGCCGTTGAAGAAACAGCACATGAACTGCAAACAAAACGACAAACACACACAAACACACGCTACGGGCACGAGTGGGAATTTGTACACAGAAGCAGAGAACATAACACAATAGTGACAGGTAAAGGTACAAGAAAAAGCATGCAGACACACACACACACACACACATACACACACACACACATATATATATATATATATAATGTTGCGTACATCACACAAAGTTGAGAAAAAAGCGCCAAAAAACAAAATCTACGATCATAAATGCACACACACACACACACACAATGCTGCATAAATCACACGACGTTGAAAAAAAAGCGCACACAAACAAAATCTACGAACATAAATGCACACACGCATACAGCACACAGATAGACACAGACGCAGAGACGGATAACACAACAGAAACAGACAGACACTGATATGCATACATATACAGACACACACTGTTATGTACACACATACAAACAGACACGGTTATGTACACATATACAGACAGAAAAAATTATGTATACACATACAAACAGACACTGTTATGCACACACAAACAGACAGACACTGTTATGCACACACAAACAGACAGACACTGTTATGCACACACAAACAGACAGACACTGTCAAGCACACACATGCATGCTCACCCGAAGCACGCACGACCAGTAGGGCGTGTGATCGTGCGCAGCTGTCGGATATTGCTATCCCGTACCTACACTGAATTGAACAAACACACAGACACACGCGTATCGTATAAACACTAAAACAAACGTATATACACACTCAGGCACACGTATAATAACACTCAGACACACGCATCCACACACTGACACACACACACATGGATACACACTCAAACAAAGGTATATACACACTCAGACACATATATCAAATGACACTCAGACACATATATCGAATGACACTCAGACACACGCATACACGCACTGAGATACACGCGTATGAACCCTCTCAGACACAGATACATACAAAAGACGCAACATAGACACATGCACACATGCACGCTCACCCGATGCTTGATGGCGCATGGTCTGTAGCGTCTTCTTGTCGTAGACGCCTGCTTGGCTGTAGTATCCCCCCGTTTTAGTTGGTGAACCCGAAACAGCATCCTCCGGGACCACTATGCCTATATTAACATCTGTGTATTGTGATTGGTGGTTATTTTTAGTTCGGATGGGTGAAGAGATGGGCAGAGAGCGTACATTTGTAGGATGTAATACGACGATACATAGCTAAAGTATCGATCCCCATGTGGAGGTGTCCATCTATATGAAACGCGATATATATATATATATATATATACATATACATATATACATACATACATATATACATATAT